ATCAATTCCACAACTTCTATGATCTCTTCCCGAACCGAACATGAATCTTTCAATTCATTTGGCTCTCACGCTCAGTTACTTATGGGACACTCCCGTATCTTTTAATGAGCCTACCCTCTCTCTTCGTCTTCTAAGATATCGAAACTGATACAAGACCAGGATCCCCGGAGGGCTCTTCCGACCAGGTAACTGTCAGGAAAGTCGTTTCTTTTATTTGATTATCTTTATAACAGCATCTATCATAAATGAATTCTCTAGCATTTCACTCCTTACCATCGAGGGATTTAATCGTAGACCTGAAAGATAGCCCGGGAAATAGAAGGAATGATTGGATAATTCATTTATATGGATTCTGCCCGGTTGAGACCAGAAGTAAAAACGGAATTGCCAGAAATTGACAAGGTGAGATTTCCATTTATTCATCAGGAGATAAGTACCCCTTGAAGCCATAATTGATTTTCCTTTATATCTAACATAATGCATGAAAAGGTCCTTGAACAACCATAAAATATTCTGAGAATGATTACGCATGGATACTACAAAATTTTCTATTTTTCCATAGAAATGTGTTCGTTCAAGAAAAGATCCAAAAGATATCGACCGTAAATGAAAAAATTGTTTACGTAGGAAAACGAAAAGGGATTCAAATTGATATACATGAAAATTGTACAGGAACAAAAACAATCTTTGATTCTCTCTTGAAAAAAAAGAACTGCATTTCTTTGTATTTGTAGTAATGAAACTATTCCAATTCTGATGTTCGTGGAGAAAAGTGGATGATTGACTCATTCCATACTAGGAATAATCGCGGGAAATCCTTTGAGAACACGGATTCCTATTTCTCAATGATATCCCACGATCGAGACAATTGGCTGAATCCCGTGAAACCCTTTCATAGGAGTTCATTGATATCTTCTTTTTATAAAGCAAATCAACTTCGATTCTTGAATAATCCACATCACTTCTGGTTCTATTGTAACACGTTATGCTCATTACTAAACTTGTTGAAGAGATGAAATAGAACCAAGGTCTATCTTTTTGATCAGAGGTTGAATCGATCATTAGAAGAAGAATTAGGCCAAAAATTAGGATACATTCTGGGAAAATGAAACTTCCATGGAAGAGAAGCAAATGAAAGGCTTTCATAAAAATTCTCGTAGAATCGAGAATGAAGTTTTCATTCTGTACATGCCAGATCATGAATTAGTAACTGCACCCAATCTCCGAAAAAGTCCCAATTGTTTCGAACTTTCTATTTTTGGAATGGGATATTTACGGAATCCCCATGAATAGGATCAAACCTTATTCCATGGTATTTCCATGAGATTCCTCTTTCTTATTCTTAAGCAAGCCCCCGAGAGGGCTTAGTTGATCCATGATTGATGTTTCATTCTTTTTTTTCTTTTTCGTTTGTTTCGAGAAACATATCGATCAATTCCGATTCTTTCTTTTTCTATCGATTCTTTTCCGATCGAGATGTATGGATCCATGGATCTATGTGTCTATATAGATTCCTTTTCATATACATGTAATATCCAAACTTTTAAATATAATAAGTGAAACTTTTAAGTAAAAGTGTAATAAGTCTTAAATGACGGATATATGTGTAATTTTTCCAATATATTTTGGCTCCTATTAAACCAATCGCATATCCTTTTCACGTCATGCACTTTTTTAAGATATCTATTTGTGGTTCCCTTTTTCTTGTAAACAAAATATTATTTGCTTATTTGAAATAAATATTGAAGAGCTGAGATTTTCTCTGGCGACAATAGTCGCATGATAACTCCTATTTTTAGTCAAGTTTGTTTGAAGCCTATTTAATGCATACAAAAACAAATCAAAATCAGATTTTCTTTAAATAAAGAAATAAAGGCTCGTCCTCTCTTTCTGTAAAATATCCTAGAAACACAACCATCATTTTCTCTCTACTTAAGTAAACCAAGAAACTCCATTTCTTGTTTGTGCCACTGATGAATACTTTGTTCTTGTAGCCAGATAAGAATGAAAAATAGAGAGGTGAAGCATTTCCTAAGGTATGTACTGATTTCTATATTATTTTGCACATGAGTTTCATCTTTTCAAAAGATTTACTAGGGAAATCCTAAAGATCTGAAAATCTGAAGATAAAAAAATAGGGCAATATTGGAAAATTTTTTTGGGACTCCTAAGAACGGATATGCATGTAATGTCAAAAAATTTAAATGTAATATGTGAAAAATTTAAGTAAAATGGTAAAAACTCTTTAAATGACAGATATGTGCGTAATTTTTCCAATAACTTTTGGATCCATTTAGACCAAATCCCAAATCCTTATACTCTTTTTAAGATATGTATTTGTGGTTGTAATCTTCCTTTTCGTGTAAACCAAATATTATTTGCTTTATCTGAAATGAATAATGAAGGGCTGAGATTTTAGTGGCATGATAATCTTATTTTGTAAGAACTCCTATATTTGCTCAAGTTAGTTCGAGTCTATTTAACGCATACTACAACAAATCTAAATTAATTACCCGAAAATGAAGAACAAATCTGAATCAGAAATCTTTAATATAAATGGAGGAATAATTTAGAGAGGGCACGCAACTTCCTCCCCAAAAGAAATTACAAGGCCTCGCATCTTCTTCTTCCTCTCTAACAAAGATATTTGGTTCTTGCAACAACAGAGAGAAAACCGAAAGGAGAACCATTTCCAAAGGTAGGCTCTGATTTATGCATTGTTTTTGTACATGAGCTTTTTCAAAAGAATAACTAGTGACTAAACACAATTAAATACCTTGTTAATCACCCAAAGATTCTCAAATTTTTCTTTAAAAATTTACACAAACTTTTTTGAACCCTCAAATCATCACATGGCAAGATATGGTAAATCTGCAGAAATGAATAACCCTTTTTCCATCTCCATTGTTCAGGTTCACTTGCAGGTCCACCAACTTCTTGTTACTATGGACTCTTTCCGTGCCGACAGCTTCTTGAGTGGCTTCTGCACTGTTGAAGAGTGAGGTTGCGTTCTCCGATTGTTGACCCTCAAGCCCCGATACAAGGAAACATAATCATCCAAATTGACCTGTCTGAGCACGTATCGTTCACTAGTTTACTCGCTCCTCAGCAACATAAGAAGCGTACCACCATCATAACCTTTTCCCAACGCCTAAACACCAGATCAATCACTTATCATTTCATGAAGGACGAGTTGCATCGTATGGATGTGCCCTACCAAGTCATCAACCACGTAATCAACCACATTACTGATAAATTTTGGGAGAAATTAGAGGTCATTAACAGAGAGGGCATGGCACCCCAAGAAGCACTTTTGGTAAAGTTGTCGATGGAGATTGTGAGGGAGGTAGATGATGCAGTTCAAGTTGAAGCATCATCTCTTAGCGAAGACTTTGTTTCTAGGCCGGCTGCTGGGCATGCAGTGGAGTCCTTAGAGAGGGTAGATATGAAAGAGGACGAAGAAATTATCTGCACTATTTGCATGTGTGAGATGGATTTTGGAACGGTTGATGTGAGGGTGATGCCATGTTCGCACAGATATCATGGAGAGTGCATTGCTACTTGGCTAGCGAATAGAAGTAGCTGTCCAGTGTGCCGTTACCAATTGCCCACTGCGAACTGAATAATGTATCCTTTTTGCTTTTTTTTTTCTTTTTTGGGTGTGTTGGTGTAAAAAAATGTGCATGACCTTAGAAGTGTTTTTATCTCATATTCTTTGTCATAGATGTACTAGAAATACTTGCTGGAATCAGCCTTTCTTCTCTTCAATGTATTCTTTGTCATGGATGTATTACAAGTACTTGCTGGTATCAGCCTTTCTTCTCTTCAATGCAGGATCATTTTTCTCACGTTAATCTCTTCCATATATTGTCATTGTTATTTTCCATATTCTTGTTTTAATCTATTTCTATCATAACTGGACCTACCAAACAACTTAATTGAAGGTATGGAAGCTCAAAGAGAACTGAGGGGTTGTTTTTTCTCTGATTTGCTTTTGGAAAAATGTCATTTAATAGGTGAAAATCTTCTACAAAACCATATAAAGATGTCAAACAATCTTAATTAATATTGGAGAGTTTGTTTCTGAGGTGTTTAATCTTCTCATATGATGCTAGTATATAAAAACTATATAAACAGGCTATGATGCTAGTATACAAAAACTCCTTTTTAAAATTAAAAAAAGGATAGGGCAATTGTTTTGTTACTCCCATTCCGATCATGAAAAGGAACGGCAAATGAAATTTTACAAACCAAATGGAGGAAAAGACTTTTGTTCCTAAAATTTTTGCCATTATAAATTGTTTAAACTTTCTAAAAGAGATAAACTAAAGGGTGCATTTGAGCCCTTTGATGCAATTCCTAAGGCCTAGTCATTACTAGAAAAGGTAGAGCCGCACCTCAAAATCCCATTGAATAATGTAGTTCCAGCACACGGAAACCCTCACAACGGCTTGAAAATTAATGGCGGCGACTGATTATGAAATTTAAAGACCCAAAAATGGTACATTTGTGAAATTTTAAAATGGGCAGTCCATAAATCATTTTATTTTTCAGATCTATAACTGTAGAGGTCAAGATCATCAATTTGAGGATTTTCAAATGCAAAAATTGGAATCTCCGATGAGAATTGAAATGTTCAGCTTTGCTTTTATTTTAATCGCAAAGCCTAGGCCTTCCCCTAACATTTTCTTAGACCAATTGCAGCAGCCATTTATGAAGAAATCAAAAACTTTAAGGCCAAAGTTCCTAATAAACATGGTATCAGAAAGAATTTATTCATACAATCAAAGGTCATAAAAAGAATCTGGAAACTATCTCCAAACAACCAACAACAATACTGCAGGGCTTATGTGGCCTTTATAGGCCTTAGTGGGAGTGTGGACCCTCGAAGATCATACTAAGCAAATGATATTTGCGGATACCGGACTGTGCTTGACGATCTAGGCCATTCGGATGGAAAACCCAAGGTACCTGGGCATAAAACATAAACCGAGGAGGGATTTTGGGTTAGCCCTTGATGAGGTCGGAGCTTATGCCTAGATGAGTGAGCCGAGGGACAGTGTGACCCTTGTGTGTGATGGTAGGCCTGCAGAGATCTGGGCCAAAACCTCATCCTTGTTCCATCACACGGCATGCATATAGATAGATCGTTCGGGAAAGCTAGATATCCACCTTTGGGTGAAGCATATGCATGTGCGAGAGATACCCCTATGCGCCATAGAGCTATGGTCGCATCAGATCGTGGTGACCTTGACTAGTCTCTAGGGGAGTACCTGTAATCTACAGACTAGGATTGCGACTACTTGACTCATCGACCAAACTTTGGTGACTCGCTAATGAATCCCTGCTTGGACTGGCGGTCATGAGAAACACTGGGTCGGTTCGATAAAGCAAGTGTGGTATGTAGTCCACTGCTGAAGGTTGAGTATCCCGTGATCGTTGATTGAATTCCTTAACCATATGGATCCACTTCCCATCATATTAATTTACTTTTTTTCATTTTATTATTAAATTATTTTAGATTTAGTATTTGAATTTTTATAAATCATTTGATATTTTATTTCTTATTTTTGGACTTATAAAAATGAAATTATTAATTTACAAAGTTATAATGTTTTAAAAATCATTTTGTTTAATTTTAAAATATTTATTAGAAAATACATGGGGGCCCATTGTGCACATGGGCCAACCATGTGGGTATTAGGTAGGGCCCCACATACCATACATGGGTAGGACGCCCCACCCTTAGTTACCTTCCCTTGTTGCTTTGACCTCAAGTTTGTTAAATATGGTAACTATATCTTGTTGCATATGGTCAAATATTGATTAGGAAATATTGACCTTATCTTATCTAGATTATTGAAGGAATATCTTGACTTGATATTATAGAAATATTCTTATGGAAAATATGAAATGGAATATGCAATTTATGGTATGCACTATATCTTTAATGGATTTAGGTTATTTATTTCTATTGTTGGGAAAATGGTTTAAGGAAAGGGGGAGAATGCTTCATGCACCTTCCATAATGTTGATGGCAATTCTATGAAATGAATTGCTCAGATCTCTCACCCCACAAGTCACCTTGATCAATGGTCGATATTCAATCTCAAGAAAGAGGCAAACTATGGGAAAACCTAAAGAAACCCTAGACCTAAATTTCACTATAAACTCTCCCCCCATCTCTACACACCTCTCTCTCTCCCATAACTCTCTCTCTCTCTCATCCCTAAGGGCCACGCCCTTCTCTCTAGTCTCTGATTTTCTCTCTCTTCTCTCTCTCCTTAAAAGACCCTAGGGAGCATGCGCCAACATAGTGGTTCTCTCTCTCTCTTGTGATCTAATTTAAGGGATGGAAAAATTAGGGTTTGAGCCTAATTATTTTGGAGTTAGGGTTCTGTAGAGATTTATAGGTGGTTACCTAGTTTGGCCGAAATTAGCTTTCCTGGTTCGAGATTGAAGCTAGACTGCTGTTTCGGCGCCATTGGATGTGGGGACTCGGTATGGGGTGCAAAAATGCCGGTTGAGGTAATCTCTGACATCTTTTGTTTAAATTGTTTGTTCTTTTATTTGATATTCTCAAGCACATTATTAGGTTGTATGAATGACATCAAGAAGTTGAGATTTATTTTATTGATGCTTTATTTATTTTTGAAATTTGTATTGTTTTAAATATGACAACTTGTGAGTGATCTTGTTGCCCAAATTATAAGGGGTGATTATTATTTTTATTTAAAAAAATAAATAAATTGTATTTCCTCGGCAAAAGATTACACATGTCGTTATTTCATTGGTATCAGAGCTAGTTTAACTTGATTGCCATTAGGATTTTTTTCTTATTTTTTCTTGAGAATAGAAATATAATGGCTGCTAGTACCTTCATCTCTGAGATTCTGAAAGCTGAAAGGTTTGATGGGACCAACTTTGCTTCATGGAAAAGAAAAATCAAATTTGTGCTCTATGAAGAAAACTTGCATGAGGTACTCTTTGAGGACCGACCTCATCGTCCAATTGACGACTCATCTCAAACAAATCTGAGATTTTTTGACTGACTCGTATGCATCTGAGTACGAACAAATCTATACTGCAAGTGAGATTTTTGATTAACTCAAAAGAGAGTATGTTGAACCCTCTCTCATGAAGCAAACTTTGGCTATAATAAGGTACAATGATTTAAAAATGGTAGAAGGTACCAAGTTTGCAGATCATGTGCACTTGTTTCGTGCACTAGTCAGAGATTTGGGAGATATAGGCATATAGCCCAATGAATCTATGCAAGTGATTTATTTAATGAATTCTCTTCTTATTTCATGGGAGACTTTCATATCTTCCATCTTTGCTAGAAGAAAGGCACCAAAATTGGAGGAACTCATCACGACCATCAAATTTAAAGAAGAAAAGAGGGGTTCAAGGCAAACCCCAAGGGATGCTGTGTATATGGTATAATCTCAATCATCTTTTAAATTTAAGAAAGGAAATGGTAGAAAAACTTTTAAGAAGAAAAGATATGCCAAAAGAAGAAATTTTGGAACTAAGAGAACAAAGAGAAAGACTCGAACTTGTTATATTTCCAAGAAGGTGAGCCACATAGCCAATAGTTGTCGGTTCAACAAATCTGGTGGAACTAACAAAGAATTGGCATGTGTGGTTTTCGAGTCCATGCTAGCTGACCCCAAGGAAGCTTCTTGGTGTCTTGACTCGGGGGCTAAGGCCCTTGTCAAAAACACCAAGGAAGGTTACCGATCTTTCACTCCCATGGGGTCAGGACAGCAGGATATTTATATGGGAGGGAATCAGAAGACTGATGTACTTGAAGTTGGAGATTTTGAGTTGAAACTAAAGAGTGGGAGCACCTTGATCCTAAAACAAGAACTTTGTACTTCTGATATGAGGAAGTGTTTGGTTTCGGTTCCTAAGATATCTATAGCTGGATTCATAACTACTTTCATTGGGGAAAAAGTGGTGGTCAAGAAGGGGAAAGATGTGATCATGACTGGACGACTTGAAGATGGGCTATTTACTATTGAAATAAAAGAGAACGTTGCTTATGTCTTGTCTTCTAATGAATTAGATGCTACCCTATGGCATAAGAGGTTAGGAAACAGTAATATCAAACGAATGGAAATATTAAAAAGGAACGAGATTTTTCATAATTATAAGGGAAATTTATCGAATGTGTGCGAGTCTTGTGTGCAAGAAAAACTAATAAGAAAAATTACCACCAGGGAAAAAAGAGCTACTAGCGTATTGAAAATCATTCATAGTGACATATATGGACCAATGAATGTGACCATCAAAAGTGAAAAAAGATATTTTGTTTATTTTATAGATGACCGCTCGCGATATGGCCATGTGTGCCTTATTCATGCAAAATCAGAAGCCTTAGAAAAATTCAAAGAATATAAGGCCCAAGTAGCGGATCAAACCAACCTGAAAATTAAAGTCCTTAGAACCGATAGAGTGGGGGAATATTCATCTAACCTTTTCAAAAAATTGTACATTGAAAATGGGATCATCAGTCAGTACATCATGCCTTATACTCCTGAACAAAATGGTGCAACTGAGAGAAGGAATAGGACCTTAGTGGAAATTGTAAGAAGTATGATGTCACATGCAAATATC